TGGCAGTCAGTTTTCCGCAGGGTGTGTATAGACGGCGGAGGCAAAAGAATGCATATCCTAACACCCCTGCAACAGAAGACAGCCCACGGAAACTGCCACGGCATGAATGGAAGCCGGCATGAAATCACGTGCCCAAAGTGATAGGGTGATTTTCGTGACATTTACACATCGTCACTATTTTTTATGAGTTTGTGTCTGATCTGTTGTAAGCGACCATGTGTCTGGCACTAGTAACATAGAGTGGGGTGGGGATGACCTATGAAACGGGTTGGGGTGGGGGAGGGACAGCAGTCTCCATGCTCGATTTGCTTTACAATGCTTCTGGTATTAGGTTCTCAATTTCTCCATCTAATTTGCTATTTTCAGTGAATGTTATTCCCAGATATTTAAAATCTGATGTTTAGCTATACACCCCTCCTCCTACATCACCATTAAGAAAAATGGTACACGTGCAGTAAAAGAACGGATGAAGAAGAAACAATTATCTACTAGTATAAGTGGAGTTCAACAGGCTACAAGAGAGTGCTCTGATGATATAGCAGACTCAACTGATGACATTCCCCTCCTACCCCCACAGACAAAAACCACATGGAAGATGAGGTAAACTTTCTCTTCAACAAACTTAGGTCTAAAAATTCAGGAATATAGGCAAATAATGAGAATAATTTAATCAATAAATGAATTTCCAATAGTGAAACCTTACTTCATAAAATGGAAGTATACACATATTTCGGTAACAATATGGACAAAGTTGGGATAACAGATAGTAATGGTTTTTAAAAAAAAAAAAAAAAGAATATAAAAAGCAAGAACCTTTGTTGCACTAGATGTGGGAAATCAACTGAAAATGCCCTCTGGTGGGTAACTAAGGTGTGACTGAGTACTTCATAGTAAGATTTTTTTTTTTAACATTAAGCCGGACTCATAAGGTCTTTTTCTGTCCGTTTATCCCCCATTGAGACACAGGTTCTCAACCAACTCAAGCCAAGTCATCATATCCTTTTTCTATCACATGCTGCTCGTTCTCCAAAACTTTTTTTTACTGCACCTTCTAGCTCCTTCCTCTGTTTTTTTGTGTGTGCCTTTATTTCATGGATCCTAAGAGTTCCAGTGTAGAGACACAAGGTAAACTCCATAAATGAAACAAATAACAGTAACATATTAAATCTCTTTTCAGAAATTTCTTACATTATTGAAATTATGTTTTGAAAATTCATTACATTTCCTAAGAAGGAAGTATCAACTGATTTCATCTGTGAAAAGAAGCTATATGTGTTTGGGTTCCAGCAAAATTCGTGAAGAATAAAAAATTTGATCGAATTCATGATTAGGTTTGTTTGTCTTCTCTTCTGTCCAACAGGGAACTTTATACAGACAACAAGTTTGCTGCTTAGGAACACTTCAGAACAATTATAAGACAAGAAATGATTCTGAATAATGTTTCAATGTAAACAGTGTCACACAAACACAGGGGCCTGGGAAAACTTGCCCCATGTTTGAAACAAGCAAATACCTGTTAGCCACAGAAGAATTCTACCAAGTGGAGACAACTTTAACGAACACAATAATCTAGCCATAACCATGTAATTAATTTTATCCACTAGCTACTGCCCGCAGAAAGCCCACAGCAGACCCACTAATATAGCAAATGATCTTGCTGGATATAGCAATCACACGCTCTTAAGGGGTTAAATCTAGAATCAAATTTACAATATTTAACTCTAATGTCAAGACTGGCTAAAAAAGAATTAACTAAATTGAATTATAAACATTTATTTATTTATGATGCACAGTGTAACAGGATTAAAATGGTATAATAAAATTCTCAATATGGAACAAACTATGAGTTGAGTTGAGTAGATTCAAGAACCGACATCACATTACTCAGGGCATTCCCATAAGTGCTCCGTTCCCATCTGTGACGAAACTACCTAGGTAGTTTCAGAAGTTAGTACTAGTATTAATTTCTTCTGGTTATAGAGAGACAGCGAATTATATTTGCTATGCCCTAAGACTGAATCAAGTACTAAAACCACATGGATTTAATTGTTTCCAGTCCTTGGGCCAGACAAATCAACCCAGCTTTGTGTAATATTACCTAACATTACTTTATCTAGCAATTCGTTTTACAAGCCAGTGTCATATAATTATCTCCTGACCACAGCCCTTAGGAGAGGCAACTGCTCATAAAACTAATTATCTCCCCCTGAGATTATCCTCCTTGAACCTCAGACCAGTCCCTTGTGTCATAATGGTTAGGTCATCAGCCAGGCTGGGCCCTTTCAACCGATAAGATAAAGGGGAATTAATTTGGTCAAGTTGGAAATACAATGGCTTCACTGATGGTCTTTTCACACCATGTCAGTTAGATTAGTTGTAAAATAGATTGGGCCACCTAAGAATGTTTGCTCATAGAGAGATGTCAGTCCGGAATTGACTGACAGGCACCTTGTTAGCTAATTTGATCTGCAAGGTACTTCTGGGGCGTGGCCTAGATCTTCTCCAGTTGGACAGGCTAATACTAGAAAGGGGAGGAGTTTAATTTGGACAATAGATAGATACTTATACTGCGAGCATTTTAAAATTTACCTCATAGTGCCGCCAGCTAGCCACAAACTCAGACCTACAGTAGAAAGTATTTCTTACTGGTTGAGTCTTGTTTGGCAATTGCTGGAACATTTTCAGGTATGAGTGTATATTATTTTTTATCTTTTATTCATACGTTAGGAGCTAGCTCAGTCTAATATTCCTTCCTGATGTATCCTATTTAACATTCTGCTTGAAATAGTTCTTTGTGAGTATTCAGTTATCTCAGTTAGGGAACTGCTGAACCATTCCTATTTCTTGTACGTTTGTATCACATGTTTTTCAGTGTATGTTTTCATGTGTATAAAATAAGATGTGAACAATGACATTTGCTATAATGAAATGTAATTATATTGTTTCAATTATCAGCCCAAACCATGCAACATAGCTCGGATAATAGTCTAGTTTCTCTGGTGGAGGTAAAGTGTAGAGAGGTAAACTCCAACTCATCACAAAAGCATCTATCCACTTTGGGACCCGAGACACCATCCTCAACAGCCAGTAAACAGTTCTGATACTAATGGTGCCAGTAAGATTCTTGCCTTTCCTCTGGGCCTTAAGCATCAGCCAGAACCTCTCGCCACTCATTGCTGCATCAATCTCGCCAGACTGTGGTGATCCATCTGCTTCTTTGAACTTTACACTTTATCCCACCAGGCACTAACCCCGTTTGCCTTATCATGCATCAGTATTCCACCAAGTTGTCCAGAGCCAGCCAGTCTTCCACCTGTTTATTTCACAACACACCGGCGTATCCCAGTGAAAAAATCCAGACAATACTCCTCACCCGTGTCCTCCGCAGTGAAACATGCTGCTCTGCACAAAGCATCCCTGTCCTGACCTTCCTCAGCATGTTTTCTGAGTCAGTTACAATCACGATGTGTTTGTGTGTCATGCTCTCCAACCAGCGGAAAGCTGCAATGACCGCTTCCACCCCCATTCTTAAGCTGGATGTTGTGGTATCATATGCTAGGCTCTCCTGCAACAGATGTCAACCATAAACTTTTGCGAAGAAACCCCAAGCACTTCTTTTGCCTCTTGACACCGAACAGTCTGTGTAAATAATCAAATCCTCTGAGTGAGCATTATCTTAAATTGACTGCTGAATTTTTTGGCCAACAATATGCTATCAATGCCAAACGTGGACACTTACATCCTCCAATGAATGTAAAATTGTGACAACAGAGATGAAATGCCTTAGAAGAGTGGCAGGAGTTTCAAGGAAAGACAGAATACGAAATCAGACGAATGCTAGGAATAAAGCTAGTCTTACTGGTCATCAAAGAACAACAAATGAAGTGGTTTGGACACCTAACAAGAATGCCCTGGTACTATTTGCCACAGCGAGCCACACTAAAACGTTACAACGGGTATAGAGCGAGTGGAAGACCTTGGAAAAGATGGAGTGATGGCATTAAGAATAGCCTTACAGAAATGAACATCAGTCTTAATAGTACTCCGAATAACGATCCTAAATTATCGAGGCGGAAAATATACCCTAACAGGGCCTCAGTCACGTGTCAATTGTGCACTATCGTCGTCTTAAATTGTGCACTTCCGGCGACTTCTGCCACCGCCGAGAGTATCTGCCACGCCACATGAGCAGCGTGGATTGGGGCTAAACTAGATGGCTGGGACTCACAAGCACGTGACTGAGGCCTTGTTAGGGTATATTTTCCGGCTCGATAATTTAGGACCGTTTTTCGGAAGATAGCCAAAATTTGTATTTCTGCCATGAAGTCCTTCAATTTTCTTTTTCTATTCTCCCAGGATCTGTGTTTAATTTATGGACTAGGATCAGAACTTTTAATAACTAATAAAAAAAATGTCAGTTAACATGTCAGCAATACGGTTCTAGGATTTGTGCACTGTGCTGAGATTACCAGTGTTATTTACAGGGAAGGGGGGGGTGGGTGGGCTTGAGAATGTGCAGAACAGATTTGTTGTATGCAATGAAAGTAATTATGTAAGGCATATAGATTATTGTAAATGTGTTATTTTGTATTAGTGGTAATAATAATACTTTATTACTTTAGTAAGTATGACACTGATCATTAATTAAAGATTACTTACTGAATTTGGTATTATATTTATTATTTGTAGACCGGCGTAGTTTCTGTTTTCTTTTGTAAATTTTAATTTAAATTTGAATGCGCCTCTGTCGCATGCATATCATCGCATTACGTGATATGGACGCAGATAAGGTGGCTAGAGAGTAATAATTAATAACACCTAGCAAACGCATTACAGTAGCAGTTAGTGGATTCGCATAGCTCTACGATACACGTATGCTGAAACAACAATCATAGCCACATAAAACATAGACAGCACAGCGAAAACGCCGTTGGTTACACAGACACACAGAACAAACTACGATCAGATAAAAGGTTTTTGCAAGAACTACAATGACTTACCGTATGACACGTTTTCACTCAGTTTGAGAGGTATGCGGAGAAAATAAATTACAGTAAGAACTAGGAAGAGCCAAAACAGCCAAAGACCAGTGTAACCGAGGCCGCAAATGCAAGATTTTAGCTTCTCAAATGTACGGGACAGGAAACCCGCCATTGCAAAAACACATATCTGCAGCAACTGTTGCCGCAGAAAACATGTCATTAAAGCTTTTACTTGAAATAAAAATATATGTAAAAAAAAAAACTGTTGCTGCTATTTTCTAAAGTTTCAAAGAATATCTTTTACGTACGATAATAAAAAAATTTGTCGAATACAGTGTGAAATGTTCTTTCTCTAAAGTGAAAAGAAAAACACGTAGCAGACGCCATAATGATCTGACAATTTAGTAATTAACCAAGATCTTGTGTTTTCCCCCAACACCAGTTATAAGTTTTTTTTTTTTTAAATCTAATAAATTTATAGAGCACCTTGTTTTCTCTTTGCATTCTTTGTCACTATTGATCATATGAGTGATTGCATGGTTAAATTTTATGAGCAGGAAAACAATTGATGATAAAATGACTTCTTTTTAAAAACCACGCATTTTGAAAATGCAACGAAAGCTGCTACTACTGCCGTCTCCAGTACTATAAAACTCATTTTATTGGTCTTTGGAGCAGCTGCATATGACCTGAACGTCATAAGAATGACAAGGGGTGTGCAACTAGTAAGTAGCTTTGGGGACAACAACAGACCTGTTTCTAAAATCTCAATAGCCATGAAAACAGACGGTTCAGTGAAGCTAGTCTTAGCCCCTACATAGTGGCTTGAATCCATTAGTCACTCAGGTTCCCGCTCTACAGAGAAGATTGGCTGTGTGCTTCAGATCTCTCTCTCTCTCTCTCTCTCTCTCTCTCTCTCTCTCTCTCTCTCTCTCTCTCTCTCTTTCGCTTCCTCTCGATCTCTATCACCCCTTCTCTCTCTCGATCTCGCTCTCTCTAGATCTCGATCTCTCTCTCTCTTAATCTCTCTCTCGCTCTGTCTCTCTCTCTCTCTCTCTCTCTCTCTCTCTCTCTCTCTCTCTCTCTCTCGATCTCTGTCCCTCTCGCTCTCGATCTCTCTGGTTATAGATGAGTGAGAGGTCAAGTGTGTATGTAAGAGTGTTTGTATAAGTATGTGTGAGTGCGTACATAGTGGATTCAGGAGAATGTGTACCTGTTTATGTGAGAATGTGCATGATATTTTGTTTAATGCATGATCGTGAATGTATGCATGCATGAATCTGTATGTGAAAGTGTTGTGTGCTCAACTCACTTTGCTGTTCAGTTATACCAGGCGTCAGAGGCGTGATCGCCTGCGCCAGTCGAAGAGGCGCTAGATAACGATGATGATGGCAGAGGCGAGTGCAAAAGGTCCACACGATTAAATTGTGAGACAGGGCTTTCCTGAGATTAACGGCTAGCAGCAATCTCCTCGGAGATTGTTAGACAGGTGTGACCGGCAGGTGAAGAGCCTCGAGGGCTGGCGAGAATTCGAGATCCACGTGCAACCACGGATGGGAAGAGTCCTGGGGTAGTTGACAATTAGTGCTTCTCAGTCAGTGAGAGAGGGATTTTTAGTTGTTATTATGTGTATTATTTATTCTGGCGGAAGCTTAGATTGTTCATTCGAATTTGGTGTATAATTCAGAATGTCCCAGTTGAGTTTAATTAATGGAGACAAGGCTTTCAGGGCCCAACAACTCTTTTGATTCAATTACGAAGATGTGTTCCTGATCTCATTTAGACTAACTCGCGACTGCTTGTCGTGGGGGCGTATCGATGTGTGCAAATTCTCTAGTCATTTATGGCCGGTTATAGGTGACCCAAAGATTAGGCACATAATCAAGGAGGTTTGTTATTATGGTCGGTTATACGTGACCCAAAGAGTGGGTATATAACGGTGGTGTTTATGAAGGGCTACCGGTGACCCCAGGAGCGGGTCAGTAGGCCGAAGGCGTCTTATGGTGTAGTCATGTCTGTCTGTCTGTCTGTCTGTCTGTCTGTCTGTCTGTCTGTCTGTCTGTCTGTCTGTCTGTCTGTCTGTCTGTCTGTCTGTCTGTCTGTCTGTCTGTCTGTCTGTCTGTCTGTCTGTCTGTCTGTCTGTCTGTCTGTCTGTCTGTTTGTCTGTCTGTCTGTCTGTCTGTGAGCGTGTGTGTGTGTGGGTGGGTGGGGTGGGTTTTGGGTATGTGTGGGTGGATGGGTGAATGAATGGATGGATGGATGTACGTGCGTGCGTATATACATGTACCTTTGTATGTATTGTGTTTTCCTCTTGATATTCATACTATGCATATTGTTATATGAACATAACATGCTTTATTGATAAAATGCAATTGCTGATGAAAGATGGGTTTGTGAAAGGGCCAAATGTAAGACGAGCCTGCGTGTCCAATTTGTGACCCTTTAAAAATAAATGTGTTCGTTCTTTCTCTCTATTACACACAGCCTACTTGTATACTCCTTTAAGCAGCCTTTTGCTGATCTGTTGATGCTAACCCCCCACCCACCTTTTCCCTCCACCCACCTTGTAGCTCTGCTACTTTTTTCTCTACACGTCTATTCCACGTTTTGATGGCCTCCAGACTTTGCGGTCCATTTCAGATCCTAGATTCAGTCCTGCTATATCCACCGACCATTTGATACGTTTGGTCGAGTTATTGCTCGTTCTAAACTCTTATGAGTTAAATGGCCACAATTTCAACCAGATCAGTGGCGTCGCTATGGACACCAAGATGGGATCTAGCTATGCCTGCCTCTTTATGGGCAACATCGAGCATCAGATGCGTGGTGCATATACTGGTAGGCTCCCCGAGCTCCAAAAGGTATACTGATGATTAGATCGGTGTCACCGATATGACCCTACCTGAACTATAGGACTTCATTCATTTTTTCTCCAACTTCCATCCCAGCATCCGATGCACTTCCAGCATTTCATCATCGTCGTTGCATTTTCTGGATATCACTGTCACCGTGGATTCCAAAGGCTGTAGCACCTCGGTGATCAAGCCTACTGGTTCCTATGCTTTTCCTCTTTACATGTCCCTCATCCCTATTTCAGAAAAGATTCCATTCTTTTCTCACAGCTTTTACGCCCCCGCAGACTATGCTAAGAGAACGACGACTTCTCCACAAGGTCCTAGAAATACTGGACTTCGTCCAACGTCGAGAGTATTCTAAACATGTCTTATCTGCTGCCTTTCACCGAACACGGTCTATCCATCGTAATGAGGTCCTCGTTTCCAAGCATAAACGTCACCGCAACAGACCTTTCCTCATACTTACCCTCATAAATCTGTGCCAAAAATATTCTTCTCAGGCATCTCTCAATTCTTAGGATTGACCCTGCTACCAGAAGATTTTCTCTGAACTCCCTCTAGTCGCCTACAGACGTGACCGTAACCTCAAGGATATTTTAGCCAAGCGTCGGTTACGTTCTGCGTCTGAGTCCCACTTCGGCACCGTCTCATACCACAGACCTATAGGCAGGACCTGTCCATATGTGATTGAAGGGACAAGTCTGGAATTCCCTAATTCTACCTTGCTACCTTCCACATACGTGAAGCATTCTTTTGCACGAGCTGCCATGTCGTTTACGCCATCAACTGCAAGAGCTGTGGCAACGAGTCCTTCTGTCCGCTTCGTATAAAGTACTTTTCAGTGTCTCTGATATTTCAGTGGTCTATCTTCTGCGTGGTCGACACCTGGATCTGTTACCGCTGTATCTGTAAAACATTGCTTTATGTGGTGCCCTGTCTGATGCCAAATTTGTTATATGGCCGGGTGATTGGGGGAGGGGGTGAGAAAGAAAGGGGGGGGGGGATAGCCCGACTTGCTTAGAAGTTAAGAATGTTATGACCACCCTAGGTTAGCTTCCTTCCAAACTGTGAAAGGTGCGCTCGGTTCACTAAACAGTTTTTAGAGAGGGTAAGTTCCCTGAGCCCTCAGGTCCCGGCGCCAATGAAACTATCTTCTAGTTTGTTTTCTGACTGATATAAGAAATATTAAACTGTTGCAAGTCAAAAATAAATGTTAAGGACCCTATCTCCGCTACTGACCCATCGAGCTTTTGATTAAATACCAATAAGCATAGCCTATGGATCCATTCAGATCTCGGTTGGCAATATTGTTTACATCACATCAGCTAACTTTACTTCCCATGACATTTCCCTGTAGCTATTTTGGTGGGGTTATTAGGGCGGCTAAAGTAAATTTTAAAGAAGCCAGACTCGTGACAGATTCGAACAAATCTCCGGCCAGGCAGGTGAGTGTCTCAACACTGTGCTAACAGGGATCCCCCAATTCTTCTTGTTCTTCACATTCACCGGCTATAAACCCCGGTGGAAAGTTCGGAATGTTTGTCCACCTCTGAACTCAAGTCTTGTTTCTGAACCTGAATGTTGCGTGCACATCCGTTTTACAGATCTTACTTATCTGTATGCAGTTTAGTGTTTCCTTGTCTCTCAGGCAGATGCAATCCGACTTTGAAGGAAGATCCCCCAATTGATAGAAATAGTCCATCAACTTGTCACATTTATTTCTGCTATACCTTTCCCACACACTGGCATCGACCTGTTTTGTTTTCTGTTAGTAATTTACTAAATCCATCTATGTGGACCAGCCTTTGAGGTGTATTATTTTTAAGACAGAACATTTTGATGAGTCGAGTGTTTACACTGAGAAGCATGTACAGGAAGAAACATCTATTCTTTTCCTGAGAGTTGATTACTGCTTGGTCCCGTTACATCATTTTAGTGTATGTTTTGCCACTCTACCCTAGTTTAGATTGAATTACTTATCAGCTTTTCATCTGTAAGATGAACCGGTCTCAACAGATTCAGGCAAGCACTTAGGGGCAGCGCGATCTCAACAAATATCAAAGGGTATAAAAGTGTTTTGTGACCGTTGTTACACGAATCGGCATACCTGATTCTCAATAGTATAAAGTAAAGTAAAGATCTCTTTTCACGCATTTAGGCGCATCGGGCATATGGGAGGAGCACCCATATTTTCACAAGCCAATCGACACTAGGTGGGCAATGTGGTCAGTATTACGCCGGACGATTCTCAACAGATGTGGAAAAGTATAGAGACTCTCAGTTCCAGAATATTTGTAGCTCCCAACAGATATGTAAAAGTATAGAGACTCTTCCAGATTTTATGTAGCTCCCAACACATGTGGAA